AAGTATTGACACTTCATGATTTTAAGTAGGAGTCTTTGTCAGGAGATTGCCTGGAAATCTGGGGTGGAACAGGATTTTTAAAAAGAGAGAAAGGGATCATCTTGTGTGTGAGAACCTTTTTCCATTATTCAGCATGAAGAAAAGCTTTCCTTTATCTGCCACTATTGAGCCTAGTATTAGGACATGCAACATACAGGGACATATAGCTCTCTGATCCTTTTTTGGGGGGAAAGACTTCCAATGGCTGTGAGTGGACTTGAACTGCCTGGGTTGAGTTTAGTAGTAGTAATGATGATGATGATGATTATGATGATGATGATGATGATGATGCACTGAAATTAGTATATCAGGAAGACTTACCGACTACCGGAGAGACCAAACTACCCTACTGCTCTGGGACTTCAAAGTTCAAACAGACAAGCACCTGCAACAAAACACCCCGGACTAAACAATTGTCGATAAGAAAGACAAAAAAATCTGAATAGTGGATGTGGCAGTGCCTGGAGACAGCAAAATAGACGAGAAAGAACTGGAGAAAATAACAAAATACAAAGACCTATAAATAGAAATAGAAAGACTGTGGCAAAGGCAAGCAAGGGTAGTAATAGGCTCCTTGGGTGCAATCCCAAAACACTTGAACACCATTGGCATTGACAAATTCACCATTAGTCAATTGTAAAAGGCGGCCTTACTAGGAACTGCTTCCATCATGTGACGATATTTGTAATACTATCAAACATCCACATCTGCCTATCCCAGGTCTTTGGTAAGGACACGATAGGTAGACAAAAATGCCAAATCCAGTCTGAACATCTGGCTGACTGTGCGATGATTAATAATAATAATAGTAATAGTAATAGTAATAGTAATAATAATATTGGAAGGTCATCTAGTCCAACCCTCTGCTCAGGCAGGAAACCCTATACCATTTCAAACAAATGGCTGTCCAGTCTCTTCTTAAAAACTTCCAGTGTTGGAGCATTCACAGCTTCTGGAGGCAGGTTGTTCCACTGATTAATTGTTCTAACTGTCAGAAAATTTCTTCTTAGTTCTAGGTTGCTTCTCTCTTTGGTTAGTTTCCATCCGTTGCTTTTTGTCCTGCCTTCAGGTGCTTTGGAAAATAGCTTGACTCCCTCTTCTTTGTGGCAGCCCCTAAGATATTGGAACACTGCTATCATGTCACCCCTCATCCTTCTCTTCATTAGACTAGACATACCCAATTCCAGCAACCGTTCCTTACATGTTTTAGCCTCCAGTCCCCTAATTATCTTTGTTGCTCTTCTCTGTACTCTTGCTAGAGTCTCAACATCTTTTTTACATCATGGTGACCAAAACTGGATGCAGTATTCCAAGTGTGGTCTTACCAAGGCATTGTAAAGTGGTATTAACACTTCACGTGATCTTGATTCTATCCCTCTGTTAATGCAGCCTAGCACTGTGTTGGCTTTTTTGGTAGCTGCAGCACACTGCTGGCTCATATTTAAGTGATTGTCCACTAGGACTCCAAGATCCTTCTCACAGTTGCTACTTTTGAGCAAGGTACCACCTATATTATACCTGTGCATTTGGTTTTTCTTGCTTAAATGTAGAACCTTACTTTTTTCACCATTGAATTTCATTTTATTAGATAGTGCCCAATATTCAAGTCTGTCAAGATCCTTCTGTATCTTAAGCCTATCTTCTGGAGTGTTGGCTATTCCTTCCAGCTTAGCGTTGTCTACAAATTTGATGAGTTCCCCATCTATCCCCTCATCCAAATTGTTGATGAAGATGTTGAAGAGCATTGGGCCCTGGGGCACTCCACTACACACTTCCCTCCATGTAGATGTGGTTCCATTGAGGACCACATGCTGAGTACAGCCGGTCAGCCGGCTACGAATCCATCTGGTGGTGATGCTGTCTAACCCACATTTTTCTATCTTATCATGTAGTAGGTTGTGGTCTACTTTATCAAATGCCTTATTGAAGTCCAAGTAAATTATATCTACAGCATTCCTCTGGTCCACTAATTTTGTCACCTTGTCAAAGAATGCAATAAGATTTGTCTGGCGTGATCTGTTTTTGAAAAACCCATGTTTCCTTTTGGTAATGACTGTCTGCCTCTAGGTGTTCGCTGATTCATTGCTTGATTATCTTTTCCAAGATCTTCCCAGGAATTGAGGTCAGGCTGATAGGTCTGTAGTTTCCTGGATCCATTTTTTTCCTTTTTTGAAGATGGGAACTACATCAGCTCTTTTCCAGTCCTCTGGTAGTTCCCCTGTGCTCCAGGATCTTTGAAAGATATAGTTCAGTGGTTCTGAGATCACATATGCCAGTTCCTTCAGAACTTTGGGATGTAATCCATCTGATCCTGGTGATTTGAACTCATCTGGGGTGGACAGGTGCTCACTCACCATTTTCTTGCCTATCTTAACTTGTATTTCTAATCTGTTTTTTATGGTACTGTTTTTGATAGATTGGGCTGTTTTTTCCCTTTATGTAAATACGGGTGCAAAAAACAAGTTGAATAGTTCTGCTTGTCACCTTCTTGCCACTTTCTCCCACTAGTGGACCAATCATTTCCTTAACTTTTTTCTTGTTTTTTACATGTTGAAAGAAGCTTTCTAAAAGAAAAGTTTTTTAAATCTGAAATTAGAACCCAGCAGCACCATGATATGGCTTATCCATTATAAACTCCACATTTGTAGCACCATAAGAACATGAGTGTCATCTTAGATAACACCACTGACCCATCAGGATGGCATTCTGTGCCCACATTGCCAAACCAGATGCTTTCAGGAAGGCCTGTGATGTGAACCAGAGAGTGATAACTTTTTCTTACTATTTGAATATAGCAGTCAGTTTTTAAGGAAGTGGTAAACAGCTCTTTAGACTACTGGCCCCTGATAGTCCAATCTTCCAGGCGTCTTTTAAAATATTCTAAATTGGTAGCCATCATTCTAATTGCACAATGAAATTATACATTATTTAAAGATGTGTGTGTGTGTGTGCAAGTGTTTTTTTTTGGGGGGGGAGGGATTCTCATTCTGCATTATATCCTTTTAGGTATGTACACAGTATTCCAATATAGTCACTTTGATTTAGCTAAGGGGATTTTAATATTGGTGCTTTATTTTAAAATCTGCGAATTTTGCCTCCCCCCTGTTACATTCTCAGTTGATATTTTCTTTGACTTATTCACCATGACTCTAGGATTCCTTCCCCAATCAGTTGCTGCCAAGTGCCAGCAACTTTCAACCCATTCATTAATGTATGAAGTTAGAATTTTTTTTGCTGATGTGCATTATTCTGTGTGGGACCCCCATTTGACATCTGGCACTCATTCATTCGTCTAGTTTGGAGAAATATTTTTGGAGCTCTTTGCTGTATTTTTTATTTTCCTCTTGTGATAAATTTTGTAGTGTTGGCAAATTTGGCCACCTCTGTGCTGAAATGTAGTAACAAAACAAATAAAAATGCTCTGGCCCCAGGGTGGAAGTCTCTCCAGTACACATTGCAGAGCATTAATTGTAGTTTTGTTGGATCAGAATTCTAGTTCTCATACCAACAACTCCACTAGATTGAGTTGGAATTCTAATCACAATTTTATCTTGATCAATATTTACTTTTCTATTTTTAGAAGTATTTTGTGATTGCATTCTTCTATCCTAGAATGCACTCTATGTGAAATACACTATAAGAGAACTATAAGTTAAAAAAAGTGCTTTTAATCTTAACTGTAGCACTTTTTACTGTTTTTTTTTAACATTCTTAACCTAAAAAGTAGATTAGGGAGGAGGTGATACAATAAGAAAAGAGAAAAATATTTGTCCTTTTATTTCTCTGCATAGAATTACTGCTAATAGTTTGCTTAACAAGTATCCAGTACTGTTATTTAAGGCAGAGACATCAGTAGTGTAGTACAAGAAAGATGTTTCATTCACATAAAAAGCTGTGTCTTTTTCATTAAAACAAAAAACAAAATAAAGTTTCTATATAGAAGATTGGTTAAGACTTGTTTTGGTTGTTTTTTTTATGTCTGTTGGGTATGATAAATTAGATTGTTGTTAAATTACTTTATTTTTAATATGTGTATAATTAAATGAGGTTAGATTTCTTTGATTTAGCTGGCAACAATTAAAAAACCCTCTTCATACAATTTGTGTAATGGGTATACACAAACTGGTATTTGTGCAATAGGACTTTCTGTACTTTTCTTCATTTGCACCCTATCTCCAAAATTTCTTTGGTGCTTTTTGGGGAATTGGAAGGGACAAAAACAATCTAGTTTGCCATTCCATTTGTTCTGTTGGCAGGCGAACTCAAATTCTTAAATCCTATAAGGAGAAGTTCTGAAGTGAACAGTCATCTTAGCATTTCCCTTGGAACATAGGATGTTCAAGTAAGGATAAAGGGCTTGTAAGAAAATTGAGATAGATTAAGTCCTGGGCTTCAGATAAACCTATGAAACAAACAGAATTCCTTCTACATGGGAACTTCTAAAGAAACTACAAGCAAGAGGCAAAATTATTATTTTTTCCTCTGATAGCACAAACCAGTACAATCAGATCAGCATTGCAGAAATCTCTGAAGGCATGAAACTGGGTAGGAGACCTATTTTACCATATAATATGCATTTTGTGTGCATATGATCATTTTTAAATATTTTCAGACTAGAGAGAATGTGTGAATCAGTCCTTTCATTTTCACATGTGTTCATAAGTCTGTTTCATACTTATTTGTTTTAGTCAGCGTTGGAAAAACAAAAACAAATTTGCATTTAAACATGAAAATGTTTTTTTCCCCACAGACAGCGTGTTCTTCTATTTTATCCAAAATAAAAAATGGAGAGACTACAAGATAATGTTCAGATTTCCATTTGGGAAGTTTGAATTGAATCATTTCATTTAAAATGCAAATATCTAAAATTCTGAAGCACTGCTATTTCAGACTATAAAATATATCACAGATCTTGTGCTTGTCTTTGATTTACTGTTTATTCTTATTGATTTATTTTTCAGTGAACAGAGTATATGCCAAGCCCGGGCATCAGTTATGGTTTATGACGATACCAGTAAGAAATGGGTGCCAATAAAGCCTGGACAACAGGGCTTCAGCCGAATCAACATCTATCACAACACGGCCAGCAACACATTTAGAGTAGTTGGAGTTAAACTTCAAGATCAACAAGTGAGTGTTTTTTCAGCATTTCAACCATACAAATTTTAAAATAGAATTCAAAGAACAGTGGTTGTTCTGTGTTTTAGAAAAAGGTATATTAGTGTGTATATGTACATATAAACTTTTTATTTTAAGAATACATTCTTTCCTCTGTGGTTGAAATACATAATTTATGCTGAGCAAAGGATGCCTTATGCTGAAGTGGGCTGTTGCTCCACTTAACTGTCTCAAGTGGTTACAAGAAGTTCTCCAGGGTTTCAGATAATTCCAGCATTACCATGAGATGCCAAATTATATATTGTTCTACTTCAAACCACACAAGACAGCTTGCTTTACAAGAAAACTCTCATTAGCACAATAATCTTCCATAGTTGTCATTTGCTATGAAAGTCCCTTTGAACCCTATGGCCTTAATGATTTTCAAAAGGCAAGCAAGTTGAAGCTCTCCATATCTTCAGAAACAAGATGTTTCTTATCTGGACTTGAATGAGCAGCTTCATTCCTCAGCAGCCCTTAAGATATGTTCCCAGAACTAACCCTAGTCAATAAAGATGATATAATAAGCACCAGGCATGTAGGAATTAAAAAGTTAAAAAACTCAAATTGGCTGGAAGCCTATTGGTTACCAGTAGACTAACTTCAATAATGTGGAAACTACTAAACTGGCTTTTTTTGCAGAAATAAATTGGGTTACTTCAGTTTGGCCAGTTTCAATTTCTGAGTCATTCAGGGGCAACTCCAAGATAAAAATATTGTAGTAATCTAAACATGAGGTGGGAATGAATCACAGTTATATGGGCTTTCTGTTTCCAAAATGTGTGTGTTTGGCTCATCAGTCAAATTGGAAGGTCTCCTAGCCAGTTTTTACCTGATGCTCAAGTAGGAACCAGTGCTTCTTTGAATTTTTGCAGGCAGTCTACAAGAATACCATAATTGATGGTATGAAATGCTCTTAGATGTGCTATAGGACCACATACAATCCAGCTATATATACCTTGACATAGATGATCCCACCAGAGTAACCCATATTGTTTCTTTTCCATGTCAAGGCCTGAATAATGATTGAAATGTATCTATATGATCCATTTCTTTTAGGATTTTCTGTAGATGAAGCCCTGTTATCTTCTCTAAAAAAAGAAGATTGAAGATTGGGCAGAAGTTCTGTAATATAGCTGGATAGAAGTATGCTTCCTTCACAGTAGATGGTTTCTCTCTTTCCATCAGAGTGGTATTATTTACCTTCCAGATCTAACGGAATGCATTCTACTTAGGAAGCTAGGAATGGCATAAATCCAATCATGCTGCAGAGGATTGTTTTCACTTTCTTGATCTCTACAAGCTCAAAAGGATCCCAGATAATCTTGTTAGACGTTACCCTTGTCACCTCATAAGATTCTGTCCAATTAGTGTCCATCTTCAATGAATGTGAGTCATTTTATCTCAAAGAATCCCATAAAATTATTTTGGTGGTCAGCAGAGAGATCAGCTTCTTTACCCAAGTCTGTTAGGTGATATGCGTCTGGAGACAATAGAAAAAGCTGTAAAGAAAACACATTCCACTCCTTATATGCCACTAAATACTCCTAAACAATGGGCACTCACTCATTGTCTTCTGCCAACATTGCTGTATCTCTCTCTTTAGCTGCTTCATTTCTTGAAGCTTTACAGAAAGGGAGGCCCTCAATCTGCAACTTGGGAAACCCTGCTTGTTTTCAATCATGTTTAATGTTCTTGTTGAATCCCAGAAAACAGCTATTTGAAGACTGGAAAAATTCCTAGGTGCCCTCAGGAAATCTCTGGGATTTATTAGCTGCCTGGGGCAGGCCATTTTAACCAACCCATTGCACTCACAGAGGTCAGGCAAGGTGACAATGTGCATAAATGATTGAACTGATGACAGCGCCCTCTACTTTCAACTCACATTGTTGCTACACCTTGCAGAATATACTTTACTTTAAACTGATTTAGGCATTTGGATCTGAGGAGGAAGAATACCTAGACTGAAAAGAGCAATATTTATGATATGGGGGGGGGGGAGCAGGGGAGTTAGAAGTCTGAGCTGTGAGGGCAGAGCAAAACGAGTTGTATAGATTCTGGAGACTCACTGTTGGTGACTCTGGCAGAACTGTTGAGATAAACCCTACCTCATTTATAAATATTTGCTTTACGTGTGTGTATGGGGGGGCAAGCTATAATCCCTAGGATCTCCAGTTAAAAGGATCAGATAACAGGTGTTGAGAAAGATTTCTTGGGCTACTAAGAGAATAGACAATACTGGGCTAAATGAAACGACAGAACAATCTGATGTAAGATATCGTCTTATTTGTTTTCTGCCTTTCTGGTAATATATTTTGGGGGGGGAAATAAAAATTTATTTCAAAAAGAAAATAACAAATTCTTACATAAAGAGAAAAACAAGGTATATAATATCTGACTATACAATAATGTTAAGATGATAACATGAGTTTATGTGTATTTTTTCTGCGAATTATTAGAATTAGAATTAGTAGCTGCTAATTCATTATTATTTTAGGTTGTTGTGCTGCCTTTTAGGCTATTTCTCCTTCTGATGCAGCTAATATTAACCCATTCATAAAACTAGATAATAAAATTATGCACTATTATAGTAGTAAAAACAATCATATGAAAATAATGGCATCAGATTAAAGCATATGTTCTTAGTGACTGCTCATTTCTTCTATTTCAATTTCAGGTAGTGATTAATTATTCAATTGTGAAAGGATTGAAGTACAATCAGGCAACGCCAACGTTCCATCAGTGGCGTGACGCACGGCAGGTTTATGGACTGAACTTTGCTAGTAAAGAAGAGGCAACCACATTTTCAAATGCCATGCTATTTGCCCTAAATATCATGAACTCACAGCAAGATGGAGGTAAGACAGTTACAATTATTGGGTCCACCATCATCACCTTTGTTAGCAAATTATAGCCTGTTATACAGTAGTACAAATATTAGAGTCAGAATACATGATTCATTCAGTGTGCAGTGTCTCCCCTTTTATTGAAGGCAAAATATTGGTATCTTTAATTTTTTTTCTGTTTTAAGGCTTGTGTTAAATTGTATGAGAATACCACTGCTAGCAATAGGTCATGCTATTACCTATCTCTGCCCCATGGGGGCAAATATGGGTGCTCATAAAACAAATAATCTGGGTAGGCAGTTTTCATAGCTGAAATTTTACTGTTTCCATTATTATGAAGAAATGTGATGCCTTTCTCTTTTTTAATCACCTGTGTGAGACCTGTGTGAGACATGGATTTGTCATGTGATGTTTAGTTTTGTTTTGTCATTAGGTAGACGAGACTATGAAATTAATTCCACAGGTTGTCTATAACTACTTTTATTGAGATTGGCTGTAGCAATAGAATCTTGTGCTGTAGCTCTTCTTCTTCTTACAGTTTAGTAAATCAGGAGGGTGTTTGTCTGAGTCATAGCTGTTCTGGACTTAAAAAAAATACTTTGGTTCCTTTTACTAGGCTAGAACTTCTGCGTATCCCCAAGAAGTCCATCTTCCTCACTCTCTATAGGTCCCTATCCTCAAGGAAATGTGAACATAAGAGTTGGTTGAGCAAACTGTTTACTTGCTGCTTTTCACATGTATACACGATTTCTCTTCCCATGGCATATAGAATAATAGTTAAGTTAGAATAATGCTTAGCAATTTTTTTCTGAATTTCTTTTCAAAAGCTAAATGCAATTGATACCCTTGCTACCAGACACATTTTAAGCAAATGCTTGAAATATGAACAAAATATGTAAAAATATCAGTGTGTAGAGCTTTTCCAATTGATTTTGTTATCAGTAAATCAACCTGATTGAGTCTTTTCAAAGATGAAGAAACGTGCATTTGTATTACCTAAACTCAGATTATTATTTAACAGACCAGCTTTTGAGGACAGGAATTTTATTGTACATTACTGTGATCATTCTTAAGAAAGAAATAAGCATGTCAAATTAATGGCATTAGTTACTTAAACTATTTCTAATGTCCTATTTTTAACATTTGCTTTCTTCATAAACCAGACTCAGTACTTTATGCTGAGGTTTTGTGAGGTTTATGACTACCATGAGTCTGAATTGATTTGGCAGCGTACAAATGTAATTGATTGATTAATTGATCTGCTCAATGGTGTAGAATAAAAAAAAAGGAGAGATTAACACTGTATCTGCTCTCAGCAGATTCCATTTGTTTTAGCTGCAGCAGAACATTTTTGAAGCAGCATGTTGTTGGGAGATCATTTAGAACCTGGAGATAGTGCTGGCCATTTTTTTAATCATTAGAATTATCTTCATTGGTTTTTGGTTTTTGTTTAGATTCCCTAAGAAAATACTCTCAATCTTTAATAAATAAATGTCTTAGACCACTAAATCAGTTGCGCTAATTTAATCAATCCATCCCAGCATTTCTCTGCTGGACAATTCCATTGCATTTCTTATTAGTCTATACTAAAAGAAGAAACACAAAGTCCATAGTAAAGCCTTTGGCAAAGACTTTTTTAAAAAAAAGTTACTTGGAGGGGATGAAAATCCTGAGGTTTTTTCCTTACTCTTCAGTTCTATCATGTGACAGCAGAGACGCTAAAATAGAAGCTAGGCACAAGCTTTGTGACATCAAATGTCTCATCAATAAATATGAGTCCTCTTTATGTGAAAATGGCATTGGCTAAACCCTAGGTAGTATTGCATAAACTTAACATAAACTAAGTTTTTTTTCTACTGCCCTAACACACTTTCCCAGACTGTAAATACAGGTAGTCCTCAACTTATAGCAGTTCATTTAGTGACCGTTCGAAGTTACACAGCACTGAAAAAGCGAATTATGGCTGTTTTTCACACTTAACAACTGTTGCAGCATCCCCGTGGTCATGTGATCAAAATTCAAACGCTTGGCAACTGACTCATATTTATGACGGTTGCAATGTCCTGGGGTCATGTGATCACTTTTTGCGACGTTCTGGCAAACAAACTCAGTGGGAAGCCAGATTCACTTAACAATCGTCTTACTAACTTAACAACTGCAGTGATTCACTTAACAACTGTGACAAGAAAGCTTGTAAAATGGGACAAAATTCACTTAACAACTGTCTCACTTAGCAACAGAAATTTTGGGCCCAATTGTGATCATGTCAAGGACCACCTGTAGAGATCCTTTATGGTTGCATTTAGATTACTTTTCCCTATTGCATAATCTTTATGTAATTATGAAATATTGGGAGGCACATTAAAGGCACATCAGATGAAGAGTTGCAGTATAATTCCAATTCTGGTTGTAAGCAGGCTTCAAATTTTAAAATACTGGTATCTGAAAAATATAATATGTAATTGCTGTACTAAGGGATGATTTACTTGGGGGCAGCCCACAAGAAATGGGTATCTCTCTCATGAAGAAATCAAATGTCCAGAATCAGATAATTTCTGTAGTGAAGAGATTTTTGTGCCTCCTGTTTGAGCAGTATGACTTAGCTAATTGATCCTACCAAACATTGATCCCAAGCATTTTGTTTTATTTAGAAAATGTATAAATAATATACAGTATATGATCTCCACAGGAAGGTGACGAGTCCTCTTTTAAAAGTTTCAGTGAATTTGTCTTCCATGGAGGATCAAGGAGCAAATTGGAAGCAGTTTTTAAAAAAAGAAGTGAAAAATGAGGACTGGAAGAAGAAAATAGAGAGTAAAAAATTATGATAAGAAAGAGAAACACAAGCAGCAGGATGAAAAATAAATAAAATTGGAAAATGAAAATGGACAACAGAAAGCACTTTTAAATTTAAAAAAAACCCCTCCCATCATTTAAAGACAGAATCTTGTTTGATCTCAGGATTCAAAACAGAATGACACTGGCAGATTTTAGCTAGCTCTTCTTTTCATATACAGAAGCAGGTTATATTTTAAACAATTTTATTCCCCCTCATGGTAAAGTACTGTAAGTGCAGACACTTCAACTGGGACTCGAATGCTGGCAGAGTCAGGGTTTGATTTCCCCCCCCCCCCATGGTGCAAAACAGATTCATCCCCTTTTTACATTTTTAATTTATACTGTTAAATAACATTTAAAAACAAGTTGGTAATTGCATTTCTGTTAAAGAAACAAAGTGCTCATGCCAAAATATTTACATGTCTGAAAATGAAAACTTGCAGCATAGTCATGTTTACAAAATGTAGCAAGATCTTGTGAAACAAACAAAACAATTGGACATTACAGTATTTTATTTCATATTGCTCACAGAACAAAATGCAGTATAAACTCTCTGGCATTTTTAAAAACATGGTTTGTTTGATCAAGACACTCCAACATAAAATTAAATGTGCTTCACAAGTTCTTAAATATTTCAGATCACTATACCTCAGACATGTCAAACGTGATGTCGCGCGACATATCGGAACTTTTTCCCCATTGCGGGCAATGGGGTGGGCGCGCAGTTTCTTTGTGATGCGTCCGGCCCGTGGGCTGGCAGTTTGACATCCCTGCTATATCTGGTTAAATCTTTTTTTTACAAAACAAACCATTTTTTTTTCTCAACATTTATTTTTTTTGACCAGTTATATGAGATCACTTTCTGTCTGTGTCTTTTTCTAAAGTTAGTTTTAGAGAAGGTAAACAATTGTCAACTTAGCAAAGGGCCAACACGATGGACCATTAGGTCTTTTTTTGCTCTCAGTTTTCTATGTTTCTAAAATAATAAATATGGCAATAATATATATATTATAACTACTTCTAATAATATGAGCATGTTTCCTAACAGAAACAGCATTAAGAAACTTGCACTAAAAAAAGAGGCAACATTTTTGGTTTTGAAAATCATGAGGGTTACAGCGATGAAGGAGTGGTTGAAACTTTTCATTCTCATACAACCTGTAAAAGTGATTTTTTCCGTGTGCTTAAATAGGATGAAGAATCTTTGTAAAATAGTAAACACCCTCACTAAAATTTATCATAAACTAAATAGTTAGAATATTTTTGATGCAATTTATTTCATTTCATTTTTATCTTTATCTTGTTTCTTCCCTCATTGTGGACAGTATTTAATTAGGTAACATAAGAAATTGCATTGAAATAAAATGAAAAACAGTTTTAATAGATTGTCTTCTCCTTAAACCACGGGTGTCAAACTTGCCATGTCATGTGATATGCTGCGACATATCGTGAGTCTTTTTGCATTGCCGGCAATGGGGTGAGCGCGGTTTCAGTATGATAATAATCAAGAATTCCATGAGTAAAGTTTAAAAAGTGCATAAATGAGCTCAACGTTAAGAAAACAATGATGAATGTTCCTCTTTAAGATTATTATGTACAGTATATTATGTCAAGCAACAATTCTGGCTTGTAAAGGTTTGTTCAAGGCTTTAGTCTGTGGTGTAATTTCAGCCAGCAGTTTATTTAGTAAGTTATAGTTAAACAAACATTGGTTGAGTACAATATAGAAATGCAGCTTAGACTGCAACTAACTTGAATGGTATTGGATAATCCATCTTGTTTGTTTGACTACAAAAGGAAGATTAAAGTGTAACACATATACATAAAGATAACCCCAGGCAATCCAGTGACTTATTTCTAAGTAGGCATGTATAAGATTGAAATGTAAAAGCCTTTATGACATGAGTAATTCATATAAAAAATGCAGCCCTCTATACATCTATGCATAAGCATGTCATACTGAATTTAGTAGGGCTTATTCATAGCTGCATGCATATAGAATTGCAGTCTAAATGTACCTAAATGTACTTAGAAAGATTTTTAGACTAAACAGTAGCTCTTATGATAACTTATGGTATGGTGTTTTATAAAAGGGAACTCAAATAGCATAAGATATTCAATATACAAACATAAAGCATGCTGGTTTATGCATAACCTTTCAATTTCGATTTTTA